CAGAACCAACCAGAACCAACCAGAACCACCGACCAGAACCGACCAGAACCAACCAGAACCACCGATTAGAACCAACCAGAACCAACCAGAACCACCGACTAGAACCAACCAGAACCAACCAGAACCGACCAGAACCAACCAGAACCACCGACCAGAACCAACCAGAACCACTGACCAGAGCTGACCAGAACCGACCAGAACCAACCAGAACTTCTTTTGGGCTGATCCGTTTAATGAGTGTTTCTGATGTAGAGGAATCAGAATAAAGTCTCTCATGTCTTTGGGTCGAACCTCCTCAGGATCACAGCGTCTCCATGGAAACCGTCTTCAGTTTGTTTCCAGCTGAAGGTTTAGATTTAATTCACTTTATTTATTTACACTATTTCACATCAACTGTCATCTAAAGTTATTTTAATGAACATCAACCACCTGAAGGAGATCCTGCAGTTTCTGCTCTTCTGTATTAATCATGTTTTTATTCATATGATTCATTTAAACAGAAAATTAGTTTCTCTGTTTATGGTTATTATTTACAGACTAACAGAAAATCTCAGTCCATCACAAAATGGGTCAAAAGTTTTATTTGAAATAAAATGTATTTAGAAAATATAATCCAGATTTTCCCATCAGACAAAACAAACAGAATAAAGTAAGAGGTCGGATGTTTTCTCTGAAATAGAAACCTGCTCTCAGCTTCTGAATTTTTTAAACATATTTTATTAGGTTTTATTTTAACTTGTTCCCACCAGCCACTCACTTCCACAGATTCTGTTTCTCTGATTTTTTCAGTGTGTTTGTGTGGAAATGTCTGTAAACGTCGGGATCCAGAGCGCCTCAACAGAACCACAGTGGATCCAGAGCGCCTCAACAGAACCACAGTGGATCCAGAGCAGCTCAGCGTTTCTCTCCACAATCAGCCTGACAGACGCTGGACAGACGCTGGACAGAAGCTGGACAGAGGCTGGACAGACGCTGGACAGGCGCTGGACAGAGGCTGGACAGAGGCTGGACAGACGCTGGACAGAGGCTGGACAGACGCTGGACAGGCGCTGGACAGACGCTGGACAGACGCTGGACAGAGGCTGCTGATGTTCACAGATGTTCAGGTCCCTCCACCTGGGATCAGACCGGACGCTGCAGCGCCTCCTATAGTTATGAGGAGGAAACTCATAGCTTCACTCTGTGGATCAGTTTCCTCTGTTTATTCATCAAACACCTTAAAATGAACCTGCAGGCCTCCGTAGTGATCCAGATCTCAGAACTCCAGTCTGGGAACATTACCACACTGAACTGGGATCCAGTTACAACCAAGAAAACCAGTTTGATCCTGATCCTTGTACTCAGTCACCAGGCTAACTAGTGTTAGCAACACAAGCTAATAACTAAGGAGTTTCCCTGCATTTTATGCCAAACCTGACAGAACATGTTCACCAACATGTTATGAACTATAATGACTCTGAATGAATGAATGAGGCGTAAAGCATCAGAGGTTTCAATGATCAGCTCAGTGCTGCAACTTTCAGCATCATTACTTCATGCAGCGGCCATGTTGGATTGGAGTTTTGGGTTGGAAACTTGGATCTGCTTCTGGTGCGAAAGGAAACCGGAATAACGAGGCAAAGATTTAAATTAAGCTTCCATGAAATCACTGAACATTTTAGATTTTTAGAGTGAAGCAGGAAGCTGTAACAAAACTAAAATAAAAACTGTCTATAGATCAATTTAAAAAAGATGTAAATTTTATAAGACAACCATGGAGGCTTTTACAGAAACAGTTTTATTTCACCTGGAAGCTGCAGAACCAGAACCGAAGCATCAACACCAACATCTGGACTAAGAATCAAATGATGATGATGATGATGATGATGATGACCTGAGGCTGAAATGACCTTAAACTTCTGCCTGAGAAAAGCAGCTGATAATCCGTCTCGTTGTCAAAGAGCCTCGGCTGCATCTGGACTTGGTCTGCCTGAAGTGCCTTTCTGGATCTTTCTGTTTGTCTCATTTATCCTGGACCAGGATCAGATTTCAGATGTTTGACATCCATCCTTGGACTTTCTGTTCTGTCTGGTGCTACTCTCTGAATGTTCATCCTGACTGGATAGAAAAAATGTTTCTGCTTTTAGTTTTAAATAGCAGTGCATCGATTGCAGTTTTCTGGCAGAAGAGAGCAAAAGAGGACAGTGGTTGATTCTTAGACCTTCGACAAGCTAGATGAGATCGGCTGATCGCTGATCTCCCAAAAATTAAGGAAATCGGCACCGATAAATCGATGCGCCCTTAGTTTGAATCCCAGCCAAAGCAGGGAGTTCAGACCCAGAGAGAAGAAGAATAACTGGAATATTTCATGTTTTTACGCCTGTGTGGATGAAGCCCAGCTCATCCACACAGACGCTGCCCAACAAAACCTGTAGGTATAACGAGTTGAATCGGGTTCAGTCATGTGGTGTTCAATCACACGGCAAGAGCAACACACAACACCGACAGAAAATCCCATAAAACCCATTATGTCACGTGAATTTCAAGTAAACAAACATGGCTGACAACCTAGAAGCAATAGTGATAGTTTGTTTTATTTATTGTTTTATTGCTTATTTTAAGCAATAAAAGACGTAACAAAAAGAAGAAACGTTGGATAAAAGAGCGGAGGTCAGTTATTCTGTTTTTTTGTCTTTTCCATTTGTGTAACGGTGGCAAACAATAAAGCGAGATGTTGTGATTGAGTCCGTAACATTTTAATCTATTGTTACAAAGTAACTCCGTTAGCAGCCATTATAAAAAGAAAACATCCGCTCCACCACCGTCGTCTCCTAGCAGCGGCGGACTGATGCTGACCCTCCGTGTCAAACTGTGACACGGCCACTAAAATAACACACACAACACAAAACAGTATTAATTTACCTCCACTATTCTGTCAACATGGCCTGTGTGCCACATGTGCTTAGATTGTTCTCCATTTCATCGTTTCTTTAAGCTTCAAAGGTTAATTATTATTTACAATTACATTGAGAACAAGAGGCACAAAATAATGACTACAAGTCCAGTTAATTAAAACCAGGCATTAATCAATGTTTTACTACAATCTACCTGTGATGCATGTGGCTAGAGCCAGCGCCCTGTGGAGTGAAAATATGGAGTGAAAATGGTCTCAAAATCACTCCATATTTTCACTCCATATTTTCACTCCATACTGCTGCCAAACAAAGTTCCTCAAAGAAAGACTGGAAGGAATCTGCAGATTTTTCCCTCTGCAGTGGAACAGATTTCAGGGGTCAAAGTTCACCTGGAGAGCAGCAGCCACAGGTCGGTCAGACAGCGCTACAGTCAAGGTAAAAAGTAAGTACACCCTCTGTACTTCCTGTAACATGAACTGTGGGATGTTCCAGATGTTCCTGAACCAGAAGCTGCTCTGAAATCAGTTTCAGTGAAAATGTTTGTGTTGCTCTAAACTCTGAAAATATGAAACTCCTGAGTTTGTTTTAAACTCCAAACCTTTATCGTTCTGCTGAGACGTTTTCCTGACAATAAATGAGGCTGATGGAAGGAAAGAACATCGGAGTCGCTGGTTTGATTTCCTTCCTTTCCTTAGTAATATTCTACATTACAACAATAATCTGTGGTTTCAGCAGCAGCATTTAAAGCACAACAGATTAATTTTGATCATTGCAGCTGCTGACCTTTGACCTGCTGTGAAAGCAGAAAGGATGGATTTAGTTTTTCTCTCACTGCTTCATCATTTTGGTTCCGGTTCTGTTCAGTACATAATGCCTCAGTGTAATCTG